AGAGAAATCAAGTGTAAAGGTCCAATTTGGGGGCAATTTGGCATTAATACAATAAGAAGAAGATCACAACGTAGAATTAAAGCGGCCGGCTAAGTTGCAAATTTTTTTGGAGGGAGAATTAAAGTGTAAAGGTCCAATTTGGGGGTAATTTGGCATTCATACCGTGCGAAGAGGATACAACAACGTGGAATTAAAGCGGCTGGCTAAGTTGCGAAGTTTTTTGGCGGGAGAATTTAAATGTAAGGTCCAATTTGGGGGCAATTTGGCATTACCACAATATGAAGAGGATAACGTGGAATTAATGCGGCCACCTACGTATGATTCAAAGTTTTTTTGGCGGAGAATTGAAGTGTAAAGGTCCTAAACAACAATTTGGGGGCAATTTGGCATTCCACTATTATATGTTAAGAATTTTTCAATGTTGCTCGTCGTCGAATTGAAATGGCTCCTAACAAAAAAAAAGAGAGAGAGAGAGAGAGACAGAAATGTGAGTGCAAGTGTGTGCATATGGAGTGTTGTCTCGTGTTAATAAAGAAAACATACTCACACCTCCCCATCTTCTTCCACACTGGTTGAGCTCTGCTGACGTCTGGTCCTTCATCCTGCTACAGTCCAGCCTCCGGATCATCCACAAAGTCATCTTGAAGACAGAGAAACAAACGTCATTGTATTGAAAACAGCTATTGGCTTTCAAATCAAAGCTCATTTAATTGTGTTGGCAAAAAATCCATAGTTGTGTAATTTTTGTCGACCGTCGAATGTGGATCACACATAAAACTGGCAACAATATGCTGCCTGTCTACACTAGTTTTTCAAACAAATGAATTTAAGGGACTGACTTACTTGTAGAAATTCTTCTTTTCCCTCAGTGACTCGTGCAGTCAACAGCTTTGCTATTTAGCCCTCATCTGGTTTGGACTGGAGTAGCCAGTCAGGACAGCTGACCCTCAGGACATGCCTTATGATATATAAAACAACAAATGAGTGTGATGCAAAAAACATTTATAGTCAACAATGAATAATACCATAAAAGATAGTAAAAATGCACTGGCAGGGCTCGAAATTAAAGGTTGTCCAATGGCCACTGAGCCACTAAAATCTAGGCAAAGCAACTAATAAAAGACACTTTGGGACATTTTTGGGACAATAGAAAAATAACATCAGAATGTCAGCCCTTCTTTTGTTTATCAGGCTCACGTCCCAGCTTTTGGATCCAGAAAACTCCCCCCGAATTTCCTGTCTACTCTGCAATTAAAGTGTGCCTGGAAGTGGGAGTGAACATAACAAAAATAAAGTTGACTTCAAGTTGAAGTCATACAATACTTAAAAAACAGGTTAGGACACTTCATCCTCACTTCGGAACAATTGAAATTTATTTTTGGGACAGTGCTGGGACAACAGGAAGAAAAGTCAGGGCTCGAAATTCATTTTTTGAAATAAAAGATAACCTAAAAAAATTGGGTACACAAAAAATATTTGCACCATGTAAGATAAGTAGAATGTCAGCAAAAACTATAATTATGTTTCATTTCAAGAAAAGTACTATAACAGTGATTTTATTATTTTTTTCTTACACTTAGATGTTAAGAATATGCAATAAAAACAAGAGAAATAGGAACATCCTATTTTTTAAAGAATATCCTGTAACTACTACACATTTAACATCTTTACATACGTTAAACCTAAGAAAATATTTCGGTGCACTGGTGCGCCCACAGAAAAAAATTGGGTGCACAGCTCCAAATTTGGGTGCAATAAGGTGCACATGCACCCAGTATTTCAAGCCGTGGTCAGTATATATTGGAGCAATTCACCTTTAGTAAGAACTAGACTAAGGATATTATGATATATATTTTTTCACTGGGGAACATTACATAAGTGAAAAGCCAGACTTTCTTCTGATCCAAAACTTTTTATCTTGAAAGAAACAAGTCTAAGGTAAACTGCTTTGTAAGTTTTAAAGCATTGTCTCACCTGTAAAATCTCTTCATTCCACCAGTCTTCAAGTCAACCAGTCTTCTCAGCCCTCATCTGGTCTGGTTTCGACAGAAGTCCCTGGTCATCACAGGTTTCTCCCAGTCAGGACAGGAATATCAGGATAGCTGACACTCGGGACACACCTACCGATATGAACAGATGGTTATTGTGATGCAACACTGAATGACTATTAAAGATACTAGACTAAGTGATAAAATTGCACAATTGGGCAATCCCTTTCGTTGAATAGTGTACAAAATCCTAGGCTCTAGAAAGTTGTTATCTATTGCGACATGCCTCAGAATTGTAAAATGCCTTAGAAAAATATAACTTGTAAATTGATGACCATTGTCTCACCTGTACAAACTCACTGTCTTCAGGTCATCTGATTTGCTGGTCTGGACTGGAGAGAAGTTGCTGGTCACCAGCAGCCACCTAACCGTTGAATAGAAACATAAGTTACACACTTGTAATACAGTACTAAGCAAAGAAGGCAAAATGCAGAATTTTTCTCACCTGATATTCCTCTTGGGTCTTCAAATCACCTGGTCTGGTCCAATCCACTGTTGTCAGGTTCAGACAGGAGTCCCCACTACTGCATCAGTTAGCAGTCACCTATTAACTATACAGACATTAAGAAGTTAAACACTTGTTGACATGTCTCAAATAACATGAAATAAACAAAAGGTTGAATGTAGAATTCAGATTTTTCTCACCTGATATTCCTCTTGGGTCTTCAAGTCACCAGGTCTGGTCCAATCCACTGTTGTCAGGTTCAGACAGGAGTCCCCACTACTGCATCAGTCAGCAGCCATCTAACTATACAAACATTAGAAGTTACACACTTGTCTCAAATAACACCAAGTAAACAGTAGGTAAAATGCAGAATTCAGATTTTTCTCACCTGGTATTCATCTGATCCCCAGGTCTGCTCTGGTCCAATCTTCTCTTGTCAGCAGCCACCTAACTATACAGACATTAGCTGTTAGTTACTTGTTACACACTTGTCTCAGATAGCATGAGGTAAATAGTAGGTTAAATGCAGAATTCAGATTTTTCTCACCTGATAGTGATCTAGGGTATTCAAATAATCCAAACACCTGCACAGGTTGCTGACCTTCAGAGCACAGTTCACTACAGGATTCTATGAAAAGAAGAAATAATTATAAGATATTATCAGCTTAGTAATACCATATATTGAAGAAACTTCCCGTATATAATAACACTGAACATATCTTACCAACTATAGATTTAGACTTACATGTAGTCGAAGCAACCTTATCTAATGCATTTTTGAGAACAGGTGCCATGTGCACCCATCTTACTAAATTGGGTGCACAAAAAATTCTTGGGTGACCATATAATGAAATAAGTAGAATGGCAGCATAAACTAATTGAGTTTCATTTGTAAAGAAAAGTACTACAAGTCAACAATGATTTTTAATTATTATTATTCATCTGACACTTAGATGTTAAGAATATGCTGTATACAATCATACATTTAACATCTTAACATACAAAAATCTAAGAAAATATTTGGGTACACTGGTGCATCCACAGAAAAAAAATTGGGTTCACATGCATCCAGGATTTCGAGCCCTGCTTTAGACCATTCACTAAAACCCAGCATGACGTTCATATGAACGGAAGCAATGAGGAGTGGTCTAAACTGCACAATTTTGCAGTCCTACCTGACCGTAAAGACTACTCTAATCTCTTAACAAACAACTACAACTGGGGAGCTAGTGCTACAAAACGCGGTGTGTTGCTACAGGTTTGTTCGAAACACAAACATGTAACGTTTTACATTGAAGGAAATAGTCTTACCTGAAAAGAACGACTCTTCTCAACACCTTCCCGCCATGACAGTCGCCATGTGAATTCTTGTCCAAACTTTCACCGTCAAAAATGCGTACTTTCTCCCGCAAACGTCCAAAGAACGGCATAAATCCACCGTAGAAACGCTCCTTACGGTTAACTGCACACTTTAAAACGGACAATTTGCTGAAATTTGCTGACAAAAAGGCGAAAGTTTACGCTAAAAGTTGGAGGAAAAACCCGAACAACGACACGCCACACGACAGCGTGCGCACACAGCTGGACTGCACCGGGTTGATCGGACCGTACCACAGCTCGTTGAGTAAGTAGGGGTGACTTTAGCTTTATCATTATTGTTTTCCTTAATTAATCATCAATATTTCATTCCCTGCAAGAGAGACCTTCAAAATAGATAGTCCTGAGGATTTCGTACTTGTTTCCTGTGACAAACACAGCAGTGATATAAGTATAATAGCGCCTCCAACAGAAAGTGTTGATCCCTAAACTTATAATGGACCTTTCCTATATTCCCGCCTTCCTCGTCAAAACATAAACTTTTAAGATGCAAATATTTACCTACAGATGTAACAGCCACGCTCTCTCATTCGTCAAATCGCTAATTGTCATGTTATCATTGGTTGAACTGATAATCTAATCATCTGGCTTGAGTTATTGAAATGCTGATTGCCATTTCTTTAATTCATTTGTGTACAGTGAGAAAAAAATTGCATATTTTCCCTGTGGTATGTTTCCAAAGAAAATTAGAATTTGGTAAATTGTGCTGTCCTTGAAACACGAATGTCAAGAAAATGTATTTTTTTCAATGACTGTATTTATGTATATGTTGCATGCATGAACTGTAGCTGAGCACTGGTCGCACACAAATGCACCTGTCCTTGGTGCTGAACGCCATCCACACACAGGTAAACATGCCTGTACCTGGTGCTTTTACGTATAAAATGATGACAAAAATGTGCTAAGAGCTAAGAAATGGCAGTAAATATCAATATCAGATTTTCTCATCTAGAATGTGTTTTTTTTCTTTTGCCTCCCAGAAATTGCAGTGGATGCCTTTAGGAAAATTTAAAGATGTATGATGTCAGATTGGTTCTTGTTCCTTAGCCATTTTTGCAAGATGTTTGTTTAAGCATATAACTCATTGTGCTAGTAGAAAGACACACACACATAATCACATCCACATAATGTTAGCATACAAGGAAATGACATTTATTGACAAATCTGGAATAATTGACATTGCTAGGCACACACTGGCACACAAGTCAACTCAACACAATGGATTGAATGATTGTTATGGTTGCCAAACAGTGTTTCTCAAAAACTGAATGAAAGTTTTAAACATTGCCTCAAATTTTTGACAAAACAATATCCACTTGTGAGTCTCAAACAAAATCACGTTGATTAGCTATATATTGCATGATCTTTATAATCATGCTCCAATTTTTTTACCACTCTATATTCACATTTGAAATTCTGGTCCCTCCATATTCATAATTGTATTCCAATACTTTGTTCAAAGCCTTCAATAATTAATTCTATATACCAGCATTTGGAACCATGAGGATTCAAATACTATTTCACTAAACTTTGACAAGAAATCATAGAACTTAATTACTGTACCCACTGTAGAATACATCAATATTAATGTATATCAAGTGATTTAACACTACAACATGAATACAGTGGAATTCTTAACATTGGCATTCTCTATGTACAACTATGATGATGATGAAAATCATACTGCATGACTAAACATCCTGTACAATGGTCAGCTGATTGCAGGCGACACAAAAGAAAACTATCCAAATCACAAGGGAAAGATCTCACTGAAATTCTCAGGTTGCAGGGTTTGACGTGCATGGTCTTTGATGGCAGTCAGAAGGACCCCGCACTCAATGCGGCTTTTACTTCTGCCTTCTGGGAACCCCCTGGTGTGCATGAGCACCACATTACCATACATGTCAAACCCTGGGGAGCCTGAGGAGCCGTGGAACATCACACCTGTGTGGTACAGGGGCTTACGTGTGTCTGCCTGGATTAGGTTTGGAGAGCGAACATGAATGGCGTACTTCTCAACCACCCCAGCGATGGGGCAGAAGTCAACCTTCTTGCTCCCACCATGAGGGTGGCCGACAACAACCACCATCTTTCTGTCGTCCTCACTTTCTGAGATAGAACGTCCAAGAAGAGGTAGGCTGTCAATTCTTTCTGCCTCGTCTCCACCTGCCAGTTGGAGAATAGCATAATCTAGCTCTTCACTGTAGCATTTTAGCATAGCTGCAGGAGCTTCAAAAGGAACTTTGTGTTCCCTCTCAGCAGACACAAAGAATGTTGCAGTATACAGGCTTGTATCAGGAAATGACCATAAGTCCCTGTACATCTTTCTATATACATGGTAACATGTGAGAACCTTTCCCTTGCTCAACAGAAAGCCTGTTCCAGAACCAGTAGGCCAGTTGATACGACAGACTGATTGTTTTCTGTCATATATCAGATCATAGACATTAGATTCAAGGCTGTAGTTTGTACTACTGGAGAACATTTCCTCCCGAAGTGTCTTCCTGTTGAGCTCCTGTCTGTCTTCATCTGCTTTCTTGTTCTTGTCTGGGACAAAGTTCAGGTTGGGGAAGTCAGCACGTAGAATGCTTGTTACTTGGTCCTGCAAATCCAGTAACTCTCTTCTCATTGACTGTTCACTGAAACCAATGAAAGGTTTGACAAAAACTTAAATTTTATATATCATAATCTTTATGACTTGTTTGTTATCAATTAGTAATACATATTATTAAGAATGAGAAGGACTTACATTGCGGTTATTATTGTTATTGTTGGTCAACAGCAAAAATCTGGCTTACAGAATTATGTGGCAGCTATTTCAAAACATAATTGTAGACTGAAAATGATGCAGATAAAATTAAATATGTGTAACTGCAACGAAATGTTTATTATAAATAAAATTATCATTCCTGAAAAAGTTTTATGCCTGCTATGTATATGCATGACACCTTGAAAAGTAATCAAATAATACTTGAGCTAACTGAAGCACTTCTAGGTACTATCTTACCTGTAATTAAATAAAGTTATTGAGGGTACCTTGTGTTCAACTTCTCCACTACTGCCCTTTGTCCTGCCATGTCCAGTGCACTCTTCAGTCCCTCTACAGTTGCATCAGTACCAGAGAGATGTAGCCACTGTTCCAGTACTGCCAAACAGCATCTCCCTGTGTCTTCCTGGTGCTTCTGGCTGATTCTCTCCATGTCAGCTTCAGACAGACCCAGGTTTCTCCCAAGCTCCCTCCACGGTGGCTTCAGTTCAACAACAATGGGGATGCACCATGCTACAACTAAAAAAAAAATGTGAAAGTTTTGTTACCAATAAAATCTTGACTTATTGATCATTTAGAGTCTGTGAGTCTGATGAAACTATTACTCGATGTGAACACAAGTCCCTATATGGCACTATGGTACATGATATACATTTAAATGACAAATAAAAAGTACTGTGTCACAATTTTTGGCTACAAGATCAACCACGTTACACTGTCTTGATTTTGTAGCATCACATGAAAATTGTTACAATAAGATTTATCAGTAATGCTGACTAGAATTACATACATGAGATATCACACTCTTCTGTTGACTTCTGTTGTTCAGATTCTGACTGATCCTGTTGTGGGACTCTGCTCCTTTGACCAGCTGCAGCATCTTTTGGCCTACAGAGAAAAACATAGTGCCCTTTTCAGAGAGGTTTGCTGGTTTGGTAACCAAAAACAGCTATTAGAATTCCTCAATGTTCCATTGACTGGAATGACATGGTGGGGCCTGGCCTTTAATATCTGTAACATCAGCAAAATCTTCTGCCTGGTGCTCAACAGTGTATTTTCTTGTTGCAATTTGAGGGTAAAGGTATATCTAACAACTTTGGGACAAACACAAAGAAAAGCACTCACGGTTTCTGGAACCAGTGTCCAAGACCGATGTCTTCGATGGTGGTTGTGGCAGGCGAGTAGGTTTCACAGACGACTTCTCCCTCATGAACCATTCATGGACACTTGTGATTGGGATGAAGCTGTCTTCATCCAGCTCCTCCGTCTCCTTGTGGCTGTCACAGCAACACTGGAGGCACCACTTGTACCTGATACCCGGGATCCACTTGTTGATGATCTCCCGCAGGTCTTCATCCAGACCTTTTCGGACAGCTGGACCATGGCTGAAGCAGGCAGACTCTTCCTTCTCTGACGACAACAGCTCCACCTTCAGGCGGTGGTCTTTCTTGGTGATGACGAAGGTCTGCTTTGGGTTGTTTGTGATGAACCTTGCACAGCTTGCATATGCCAGTGGCCTCAGCTTGTTATGTCGACGCATGCTTGCAATGACAAGGCGATGGTACACACCAACAGGGCAGAACTTGTCATCAAATACAGCAATGATAGGCTTGCTGCACTTCACCCCTTTTGGATACAGTTTCTTCCTGTCCTTCACAGCAGTCAGGAGAGATGGAACAAAGTAGGTGGGGTTCTGTGGGCTTGAGGTGTTTGTACTTGTGTCTGTCTCATCATCTTTGCTAGTACTGCATTGTAGGATCAGGTCAAACTGTTCCATCATCTTCAGTAGCTCATCTTTGTGGTTGATAAGGTCATACTCGAGTTCCTCTTGTCTCTTCTTCCACACATGCTGTATCAGGCTGTCTTCTAACATACCTGTTGACTCCAGCAGTCTCCACTTGTCTTTCACTTCGGGATCCCGAAACTTGGGGATGGTGATGATTGTTTTCTGCACGTCCACAAACCACTGCGGGTCCAGGACCACAAGGTTGCGGAGTTCTGGGCTGTCGAAGAAGAGGATGTCTCCGCACAGATGAAAGAACCTCAGGATTGTGACAGCGTTTCTCTCTGGAGTGACTCCTTCAGGTAGATCAGAACTGTCTGTAGCTTTCAGCACATCCTGAAGGCTGCAGTACTTCCTGCCCTGCTTCTCCATTTCCACCAGCTTGGACTTCAGCTCCAGCCATCTGATTGGGATTCTCCTGCCCATGTGGTTTTGCTGTTGGGCAATCTTGAGGATAAAATCTCTCAGATGTGACATCTCTTGATCTTCTGGATCACGCTTGGTGTTGTCAATAGCGAAGTACCTGTCATACACATGGCTGTCAATGGCCTTCCCACTGAGATGCTCTTTGAGGTTGGAGAACAACTCATCAATCTGTTCCTGGAGTAAAAAAGGAGCAATAAGTTGATTTTATTACTTTTCAATTAAGAATATGTAAACATGAGTTTCTAATATATAATCAGACAAACCTGCTCTACTTGGTCCTTGTGTGTACCAACCACAATCACAGGGGGCCCTTTGTCTTGTTGCTGGTCATCACTCAGTAGGGTCCTCTTGTTTGGTCCGGTGTGTGCTCGAATGGACTCCAGATGGTAGTCAAAGACATCTACAAAATTAATAAAACCCATACTTGTCAAGACTTTCAATATGCTATCAAGGCTCTTTTATTGGAAGAACTTGATATTGGTAAATTTATACAGAGAAGCAAAACAGTTAAAGCTGCAAGCATTTTTAATCCATGAATCTATACCTTAACCATTTTTGCATAGTGAAGCACTCCCACCAGTATACCTGGTAATATTAATGTTTAGTCCTCATGATGCTACTAGTACTCACCCCCCCTCCCCCAAAGTACAAAATCCAACAGGGCTTAAATGAAAATTCATCCTGTTATGACTTGATATTAACATTTGATTTTGAAATCATGTGTTCCAATAAAAAGAACATTTAAAAAATCACCGGTCCACACTAACCTCCTTCTGTTCTGAGTTGAAGTGCTCCTGCACAGCTGCCAGGCCATGGCTTGAGTGGGGTGTCCAGAGGTTTCTCAAGGTTCAGGGTCACGATGTAGATGGCATAATGACTGTAGAAGACATGGTGGCTGCTGTAGTACACGTCATGGCCGGCGTAGTCCCAGATTGAAATGGCAGGATGTTCCTTTGATCCAACGACGTTGGACAGGTCATCTTTGCCGAGAAAAATTTGGGTGGCACGTTTGTAGTCCTCTGACTGCGTAGCTGCTCTTCTGGCACTAGTGCTACTAGACTGGTTACTTGCAGAGGGTTGTACGTGTGAAGAAGTGCTTGCAACAGGCTCTCTTTGGTGCTCTATTTCAGTGCAGGTAAAATAAGATATCATCTATCATACATGTAAAAATTTAATCTTTCCTTAAAACAACTATGCAATGTTTAAATGATGTTCTAAATTCCTGATGCAAAGTATGATAAAAGGCCGAATTTACACAGCAAAAATATCTGGGCTAGGACATTCGACATACATTGTATGGCACCGCATGATGCATGCTGTAGGACAGATTTTTTATGTGTAAATAGGCCTGCCAAAGATGCGCGGCGTCACATGGCATTTATCCTGTGGCACATTCAGGAGGTGCCACAAGTGTGGCATGACACTCAGAGGAAAGTGTGCATCGCGGCCCAGCAGTAAATGGTGTCGCAGGCAGACCAATTTCTACATGGCAGTTGGTCTTTGTTTAGAGATCATTCACAGATTATAAATTGATTACAGGTAAATAAGGATGCAAAGTGCAAAGTGGAAAGGTACAAGTCTGTCACTGAATGAATGGTATGACATTAAAAATCTATACCCTTCAAGTTGGCAGATCTAGTAATAATACCTTGACTTGCAGGAGCTGTTTGGTGTGGTTCAGATCTGAACGTTTCTTGTCTTAACTCCTTGTCTCCCTCTGGCTTTCTGGACATGCTTTGTGGTAACAGTTGTTTCCTCCCTTCTTTCATCTTCTTCATTTCTATGGCAGCAGCATGCACAAACTCACTGTCCTTCGTCTCTGAAATTAACAAATTCCTAATTAGTCAAATAAAAATCTTATATCTTCTATATTTCACCCATACTATATAGTATGATACTATATAATATAATGGTTATTTGGGGGCCAATGATCATGACCTGAAATTTAGTATAGACTCCAGCTGCAGGTAGAGTACTAGTGGGCATTTTTTGTCTTTTCAGTTTCGATATAGGCTTTTAAAATGGTTTTATTTGGGGTTTTACTATACATGGTATGCATGACAATATTTGGCATGAATGGTATGCATATTTGGCACACATGACCTAGCTACTTACTCATCAGCTGTGAATAGTTTCTTCTTTCTGATTGGCTGCTGGGATAATGTGATAATCAAACAGATACAGGATTGTATGGAAAGGTAATCTTCAAGAAGATACAGGGTGACATGAATTGTTGATCTCCAGGCAGATACTGGGAGGCATCGAAAGGTTACATGTACATTCAATCAGATGTTGTTTCCAGAATACCTGTATGTTACTGAAAGGCACTTCGTTAGTGGGGGTTTCTAGAACGCTTTTACTAATATTAAAGCAGTGTATAGGAGTTTCAAGAATATTTCTATTGAAAAGCACCATATAGGGATTTTGTGAACACTAAAAGGTACTGTATACACTAGGAAAAAGTTGATATGGAACAGTGTACTTAATATGGAATGGGAAGAATGGGTGAAATATGCTGCACAATTGTAGTTGCTCTTGAGCAAATGTTCAAGGCCTTTCTAGTTAAGAATTGTTGTTGGTGCATTTTCTAAAATTTCATTACTTGAATAGAGACAAGAAAGCCATTATTAATACACTGTATACCTTTGGTGATTTTCCATTCTTCTTTCCCAGTCATGAGACATGAAGTGATGACAATACCATCAGTGCTCTCCTCATCTTTGTGGAACTCGATTTGAAGCAAGCTGTTCTTCAGGCTGCTTTTACCATTCCCATGTTTCCCAGACAGTATCAGTCTGATGTTGAAGACTTGAGTGGTCCCCTCTTTACAGGCCTGCTCATACAGAGCACACATCTCTGGACCTCCCAGCTCAACTTCCACTGGTACAGATGCTGAATCAATTAGGTATGAAAACAGGATCTTAATCCTGAAACCTCAAAATCCTTGGTTCAATTTTCTAATACCTTGGAGACCTGGACCTGCTAGAACTTCCAACAAAATTACAAAATTTCAAATGTATAATTATCATCAAATTTTTCTAAAAGATATGCAAATCTACATGGAGGAACACATTATTCTGTAAAATCTATTCGAGCATGCAGAAAATGTATGATTTCGAAAGTGGTTACTTTGGTTACTGAAGAAGTGTCATGTCAAGTCAGAGATACAGTGTATCATTTACGTACAAGCTGATCACTATCCTAGAAGGCAGGTTATGTTGATTGGTTGATTGATTGATTGATTGATGAATTGATTTCTGAGCTGTTGGAATAAACCAGTATAAAAGTCTCCATAAAACTTGACTGTGTACCATTAACATTATGTTAGTTTGGAGATAATAATATATTCCCATAAATTGTCAAGTAATTTCATTCTTCTTAGCTATTTTTCCTGGTCACCTGAATCAGTTGCTGATGGTCCCTGATTGTGCTCCTTGCTCTTAAGATTGCTTGTGAAATCCTGCAATGTAATCAGCTAATTAATCTCTTAGCAGATCCTTTGTGTGGCTGCTGCAATAGTTGCTGAATAATCTCCAACCAGATCTTTTGTGTGGCTGCTAAGAATTTGGCCAGGCAGTATCCATTTGCCAGACAGTATATTAGGGTGGCATATTGGATACTGTCTGGCAAATGGATACTGCTGGTAAGACAGCCATACTGTCTTCAAAAAATGGTGTTATCAAGACCTTCTCATTTTTAACAATTGTCAGGATATCTGAAGTGTGCATACGTGCACCTCTTAGATTGCACTATCTGATACTGCATAAGTAGATCTCTTTAAAGTCAACTTTTTAAAAAAGTAGCAGCCCTGAGGTACAATTTTGACATTTAATAAGTTCAATAGTTTAGCTAATAGTTTATAACAATTTAGAACAGTCATTATAGATAAAGAGAACATAAATAAATGTTGTATGTATGCCACTTCATGATGAGTTGTTTATCAGCAGCCTTTATCTTTTTCTGATTATCTTAAGTGCTAGTAGTAAACTTTCGGTTACTGCTAAACATATATGCTAGTTTAGATACAATCCAGAAGAAGAGAATCATAAAAACAACAAAAGACATGTCAGTATCTAATTTCAAAGTACAGAACTAAGTATAATATGACAAATGTCAAATATCATTCTGATCGTTTTTCAACGTGTGGTCATTACATACAGTTATGGAAGAGCAGCTTTTTGGAAGAGGCTAATAAAAGAATGATGTATCTTGTACCTTGTCTCTGTCATCCCTATCAGCCTCGTGCTGCTGCATTATGTCCACACACTTGGATTGACCTCGCAAAGTTGCATACTGAAGGGGAGTGTAGCCCTGAAACAACCATGACGCTTTTGTTTTTGTGAAGAATTTTTTATTGAAGGACACGACAGACTGAAGCACACTTTTTTTTATTACTCCGTGAAGGAGGTATCCCTCCTGCAGGAGTATTGTGGTCAGTCGATTTGTCATGTTAGCAGCTAAAACACATATACACGTGCGTGTAAGATGAAAGATTGGAATAAATGCTTCAAGCGTGCGTGTAAGATGAAATACCGGAATAAAAGCATTGCTCTTGAAAGTTCCTGATGAAAGTATTAGTTTTGAAAGGTGCTGTTCTTTTTGTTGCAATGAATTCCAATGGGTGCAGTGTAATGAATTCCCATGGGTGTAAGAAGAGTATTAAAATCCAGAGCGAGTGAATCGTGAGTAGTAAGAGTCGGTGTAGGTAATTGGCTTGTAAGATTTGGTGTAAGATTCTGAAATGGGCCATGTTCTTCTATGTCCAATATTTGGCCACTACTGAAAACACAGGGTTCCCTTGTTTAATTGCCATGTACAGTAATTTTATACGTCGTCTGCAGGCTTATAAGATGCCCGTGATGATGCACGTTTACATGTATTTACAAAATATAAAACTTCACATAGAATTGTCACTTATGGACACTTGTTGTTACATTAACTGTGAACATTACCAAGTTAAATACCAAGTAACTGGTGACATCCAATATGATACTCCAGGCACAGGTGATGTACCACAACAGTCAATCTACCTACCTGCCAGTCCAGTGTGTTCACATCTGCACCAGCCGCCAGTAAAGCTGATACAGTTTCATGGTAGCCATCCTTAGCTGCCATGTGCAGGGGAGTCCTGTCCTGTTAAACACGTAAGATGATCTTCAGTATGGGAATAAAAGACTGGAGCACATTATTACATAAAAATTCTAACTTTAAGGTGAGGTCACATACAAGTATGATACTCTGGGGACATGTCATGTACCATGTCAATCTAGTCCTACCTTACTGTCCTGTATGTTCATATCTGCACCAGCTGCCAGTAAAATTGACACAGTTTCATGGTGGCCATTCTGGGCTGCCAGGTGCAGTGGAGTCCTTTGCTGTAAAACACATGAAATGGTCTTCAGCATGGTAACAGGGATTTACACAGGGCAAAAAAAAATCTGTCCCCAGTGCGAGCTGTACAACAGATTTTTAATGTGTGTAAAAAGGTCCGCCACCATTTTCCTGTGTCACATCGAGGAAGTGCCACAAAGTCACACTCAGTGGGGAGTAGTGCTGCATACCTAAACCCAATTTTAGGTTCAGGTCTGGATTCAAGTCCAGAGGTTTAGGTTCAGTTCCAGACTTGTAAGTCCGGACCTAAACCCATGGCATTATAATACAAAATTGCATGTTGACAACCTTGCAATGTTGTCTTGGTGAAACTTAACATGGAGGCCGGTACTTGACGATGCCCGATGGCAATGTTTTCTTCATTTTGCAGCAAAGATTTTACAATCTACGGAAGGTTTTAGGTGGTATGGAAAGAAAAGGGGTATGTGAAATGGTCTTTTATGGTAATAAGTCCGAACTCGGTTCTTGACTTTTAGGTTTTTTTGGACTTGAACCTAAACATTCTTACAAGTCCGGATCCAAGTCCAGTGAACCGGTATGCATCACTAGTGGGGAGTCTGCGTCATGGTCCAGCAGTGTGTAAACAGCAGGGCTCGAAATACTGGGTGCATGTGCACCTTAGTGCACCCAAATTTGGAGCTGTGCACCCAAGTATTTTCCGTGGGTGCACCAGTGCACCCGGGCCAAACATTTTTGTAGGTTTACGTATGTAAAGATGTTAAATGTACATATAGTTACTGTAGTAATACAGCATATTGTCGACATCAAAGTGTCAGAAAAGCAAGAAAACCCTTGTCATTTTTCTTTATAAATGAAACATAATTAGTTTTTGCTAAAATTCTATATGGTGCACCCAAACAATTTTTGTGCACCCAGTTTCTTAAGTTGGGTGCACCAGTGCACCTATTCCCAGAAATGAATTTCGAGCCCTGAACAGACCTGCATCCACACAGCCCATTTCTGCGTCGCAGTAGGTCAATGGTTATTTGAAAATATATCATTTCCTGCACTAGCCTGAAACCCACACCATGTTCATCTGTTTATAACTGTTGCAGTTGATATGGGTAAAATGAAAATGTCCTAGGCGATTGACAAGCGCCGCACGTCGAACGGCACAGGGCAGATATAATTTTGCCCCGTGTAAATTGGACCTAGAACACATTATCCTTGAAGCTAAGGTCTTAACTACTACTATACATGTGTAGATTTAAAGGTGACATCACATACAACATTCCAGGCACAAGTGATTACCACAACAGTCAATCTACCTACCGATCCATCCAGTATGTTCACATCTGCTCCAGCTGTCAGTAAAACTGATACAGTTTCAAGGTGGCCATTCTCAGCTGCTGGGTGCAGGGGAGTCCTGTCCTGTAAAACATGAGAAAGATGAGATAGTTTTCAGTAGAGCAACAGTACAGACTGAAACACATTATCCTTGAAACATTACCTGTTAGTGTTAGGTATAAGATTTAATGGCCACATCCGATACAATACTCCAGGGACTTGTGATGTACCACAAGAGCCAATATATATATTATGTACCTACATTGATGATTACATGTACCTACTGTGTTATCTAGTGTGTTCACATCTGCACCAGCTGCCAGGAAAACTGACACAATTTCATGGTGGCCGTTCTGGGCTGCCAGGTGCAGCGGAGTGTTTCGCTGTAAAACACGAGACAGTCTTAAGTTAGGAGAATAGGACAGACTGAATCACATTATCATTGACATCATTGATTAGTTGTTAGGTATTACATGTAACTGCTATCAGATTTAAATGGTATTTCACATACGATACTACAAGGACATCAGTCAATCTACATGTACCTACCCACGGGTCCAATGGGTCAATTACATATGCACCAGCTGCCAGTAAAACTGACACAGTTTCATGATGGCCATTCTTAGCTGCCCTGTGCAGGGGAGTCCAGTCCTGTAAAACACAAATGAGATGGTCTTCAGCATATTATTCTTGACATCACTCAATTACTTGTTAAGTTTGAACTGCTATGATATTCCATGCGGATATGGTGACATTACATACACATGTATGATGTATTACTCCAGGAACATGATGTACAATCTACCTACACATTCGTCATGTGTGTTCACATCTGCACCAGCTGTCAGTAAAGCTGATACAGTTTCAGGGTGGCCATTCTCAGCTGCCAGGTGCAGGGGAGTGCTGCCCTGTAAAACATATGAGATGGTCTTTAGTAGGACAACGGGACAGATTGGAGCACATTTTTCTTGATATCAATTAGTTGTTAGGTTTGAAGTTCGAATTGCTATGACATCATGATATTTAAATGAAAGGTGACATCACATGATACTTTGTTCCCTTCATCCCTATCAGCCTCGTGCTGCCGCATTACTTCCTCACACCTGGATTGACCTCGCAAAGTTGCATACTCAAGGGGGGTGTAGCCCTGAAAAAATGACTACACTTTTGTCAGACTGGAACACACTTCTTTTATTGTTAACATTATCAAGTAGCTGTTTGTTTCCTGGAAGATTTAGCTAAAGGTGCTCCAGGGGCATGTAATGTACCACAACAGTCAATGTACATACGAACTCATCCAGTGTGTTCAGATCTGCACCAGCTGCCAGTAAAGCTGATACAGTTTTATGATGACCATCCTTAGCTGCCAGGTACAGGGGAGTCCTGCCCTGTAAAACACATAAGGTGGTCTTCAGTATGGGAATAGGACAGACTGGGGAACATCATTACTGACATAAATCAATTAGCTATTGGGTCCTCACTGCAATTATAAATATTTTATAAAAACTTTAAGGTAACATCACATAATTTATACAAGTATGATACTCTGGGGGCATGTCACGTACCAATTGTCAATCTACATGTAGGGGAGGGACCAGCAAATCGGCATGCACAGAACTAACAGTGTGTACACCGACGATTTATTTTGGTACTTATTTTTTAGATAATTTTTTTTCCTGGGCAAATTTTGCTCAGAAAGGCCCAGTTTTCTGGTAAGGACAGAAGAATGTATATTTCTAAAATATACAATGTTTTAAAGTGTTTGTTTCTAGTGGTTTTAGCATAGATTTCAATGGGATCTCCTTAACTGGTCCCTGCCCTGAACCTACATTAGTTAGTTGTTAGATTTGAACTGCTATTATGATATTCCATGGTGACATTACATACACATGTATGATATATTACTCCAGGAACATGTGATGTACAATCTACTTACATCTTTGTCATGTGTGTTCACATCTGTACCAGCTGTCAGTAAAGCAGATACAGTTTCATGGTGACCATTCTCAGCTGCCAGGTGCAGGGGAGTGCTGCCCTGTAAAACATATGAGATGGTCTTTAGTAGGACAACGGGACAGATTGGAGCACATTTTTCTTGATATCAATTAGTTGTTAGGTTTGAAGTTCGAATTGCTATGACATCATGATATTTAAATGAAAGGTGACATCACATGATACTTTGTTCCCTTCATCCCTATCAGCCTCGTGCTGCCGCATTACTTCCTCACACCTGGATTGACCTCGCAAAGTTGCATACTCAAGGGGGGTGTAGCCCTGAAAAAATGACTACACTTTTGTTTTTGTGAAGAATTGAAGGACAGCACAGACTGGAACACACCTCTTTTATTGTTAACATTATCAAGTAGCTGTTTGTTTCCTGAAAGATTTAGCTAAAGGTGCTCCAGGGGCATGTAATGTACCACAACAGTCAATGTACATACCAACTCATCCAGTGTGCTTAGATCTGCACCAGCTGCCAGTAAAACTGACACAGTTTCATGGTGGCCATTCTCAGCTGCCAGGTGCAGGGGAGTGCTGCCCTGTAAAACATATGAGATGGTCTTTAGTAGGACAACGGGACAGATTGGAGCACATTTTTCTTGATATCAATTAGTTGTTAGGTTCGAAGCTCGAACTGCTATGACATCATGATATTACAATATATATATGATATATATATATATATATATATATATATAATATAAAGGTGACATCACATGATACTCCAGGAACATGTGAATATCTACCTACCTGTTTGTCCTTTATGTTCACATTTGCACCAGCTGCCAGTAAAACTGATACAGTTTCATAGTGGCCACTCCAAGCTGCCCTGTGCAGGGACTGTAAAACATATGAGATGGTCTTTAGTATTATGGCAACAATACAGATTGGAGCACAATTGTTTTTGATATGGGCAGTTAGCTGTTAGACTTTAACAGACATAAGATTTAAAGGTTATTTGTTGTTTGTATTCTCCTATATATATAAAAACTGTCATTTTATTTTTCCAGAAACAACCTTAATCTTACATCACTGCATACATAACTAAAATCCTACCATAAAATCCCACTGTTGCCACCATGCCAGAGGACATAAATGAGCTACTGGGAAGCATAGTTGTGACTGTACAAAGGGGCTTTAATAATCACACCTTTGTGGAATGAACCATTATGGGGAAATCTGAAGAACCAAGTGATCCCTAACTATGATGTCATCTCATTAACATAAACATTGACATACTAGTATGTAAGTCCTTTTACAGCAAAATTCTTTCCCCACATTGTAAATTTATGGAACTCCAAACTTAATTCCAAAAACACATACTTTCCTTCTGAATTCAGTCCTCAAGCTTTTAAAATAAACATCCACTGACATTTTTTGGCATAATCATATACAGCTGCAGTGTTTACCTAGCTCTATGCTTAGAAGTGGTCATTTGGCCTGGCATTGAGCAAAACTGTTAAAAGACTAGTGGTGTTGCTACCAATTAACTGACAATAATTCAGAAACAGAAGACATGATAACAAACCAAAGTTCCACCATGATCAGCAGCATTAGGATTGACTCCCTCCTCTAACATCTGTTTCACTCTGACTGTATCACCATCTGCTGCAGCCTGCCATATTACCTGCAGTGACAGAAGATATTAAACATCACCAATGGACATGCCAAAAAACAGTTACTCAAGCAACTGGATATGATTTTGAAAACGTCAGACGTTTCAGCTAGTATCCACTAGCTTTCGTCAGTGACTGAGAGACCAGAGGGGAAAGCAGGTTTATATAGTATTTTACACAACCTGTTGATTGATATGCAAATAAAGTGAAGACAAATTTTTGGAAGTCGAAAAAGGAACAAAAGTCAGACAAGTCAAGACAAGATGATGCAAATTAGTCTGAAAGCTCCTGTTATACAGGACAGGAGCTTAAGTGTTGTCTGTCCTCGGGGCTGGGAGTGCCAAATCCCAAGTGCCGGAAAGATCGACCCGTAGCCCCCCTTCCCTGTTGAGGGTGGGGTTGTACATTCTTTCATATATTGCCTCTTTAACACCCCATTCCCACCAGCGTGTTTCGCGGTCTAAGACATCCGTGGACTCGAGTTTGAAAGAGTGACCCTGGTTGTGTTGTAGGTGGTGGAAAATAGCTGAGGAGTAGCCGTTGGCACTAGGTCGGCAATGTTCTTTGTACCTTACTTTAAGCGGTCGACTTGTCTCTCCGATGTAGGTGTTGTTACAATTGGGCTCCTCACATTTGAGTCTGTAAATAACATTCGCCTTGGTACCCTTGTGAGGTCGGTCCTTAGGGTGTACCAGTCTTTGTCTGAGGGTTGAGTGAGCACAGTAGTCTTAGACAGGGAGCAGTACGACAGGAAGGTACAGGACCTATTGGGAGACAAAGACACCTACATGCCCTTGAAAAAGGACCCCACTAACAAGTTTAAAGGGAAAATCAGTTCAGCTCTCAAGAAATTGCAAACTGAAGGAGTTCTGGATCGCCCCACCTACCTAAAACTCAATCCCACAACGGAACAACCCCCTGCTTTCTACGGCCTTCCCAAAATCCACAAACAAAGTGTCCCTCTACGACCCATAGTCTCCAGTATAGGCTCTGTCACCTATGAGTTAGCAGGTTTTCTAGCCAAGATTTTAGGACCACTAGTGGGGAAATCTCAGCACCATGTACAGAATAGTGCCGACTTTGTCAACAAAATCAAAGACATTCATGTAGAGGATGATGAAACCATCACTTCGTATGACGTGTGCTCACTTTTCACCTCCATACTACCCAAGGAAGCAGTGTCAGTAGTCAAGGAAGCCTTGGAAGCCGATGATACACTTGCAGATAGAACCAACCTATCCGTTGACCAAGTTTGTGAGCTACTAGAACTCTGCTTAGGATGCACATACTTTACCTACAAAGGACAGTTCTACCAACAAATGCACGGCTGTGCTATGGGATCACCAGTCTCACCAATTGTTGTAAACCTGTACATGGAGAAGTTTGAAAACAAAGCCCTCAGCACTTTCAATGACACTCCCCCGGCCAACTGGTTTCGATATGTAGATGACACTTGGTGCAGATTGAAAAAGAGGGTAGCTGCTGACTTCTTTGACCACATCAACCAGATAGATGACAACATCAAGTTCACACAGGAGCCAAGCCATGACAACATGCTCCCTTTCCTAGACACCAAAACTATCATAGAGGAAGATGGTAACCTTCGTTTCGAAGTGTACAGGAAACCAACCCACACTGATCAGTACCTGGCTTTTGATTCCCACCACCCTTTGGAACACAAACTAGCAGTGATCAAAACTCTCTTCCATCGTGCAGACAACATTGTCACTTCAGACCAAGCCAAAACGGACGAACAAAGACACCTCCGAGGTGCCCTGGCTAAATGTGGCTACCAAAACTGGACTTTCAACAAAGCGCTCAAACCTTCAGATCAGTCTAAGAAAACCCAGAAGTGCAAACCATTGACCAACAAAAACAAGGCCAACATCACTATTCCGTATGTCCAAGGAGTATCTGAGAAACTCCGACGGATCTTCCAAAACTTCAACATAGCCACTAACTTCAAACCTCACTCAACCCTCAGACAAAGACTGGTACACCCTAAGGACCGACCTCACAAGGGTACCAAGGCGAATGTTATTTACAGACTCAAATGTGAGGAGCCCAATTGTAACAACACCTACATCGGAGAGACAAGTCGACCGCTTAAAGTAAGGTACAAAGAACATTGCCGACCTAGTGCCAACGGCTACTCCTCAGCTATTTTCCACCACCTACAACACAACCAGGGTCACTCTTTCAAACACGAGTCCACGGATGTCTTAGACCGCGAAACACGCTGGTGGGAACGGGGTGTTAAAGAGGCAATATATGAAAGAATGTACAACCCCACCCTCAACAGGGAAGGGGGGCTATGGGTCGATCTTTCCGGCACTTGGGATTTGGCACTCCCAGCCCCGAGGACAGACAACACTTAAGCTCCTGTCCTGTATAACAGGAGCTTTCAGACTAATTTGCATCATCTTGTCTTGACTTGTCTGACTTTTGTTCCTTTTTCGACTTCCAAAAATTTGTCTTCACTTTATTTGCATATCAATCAACAGGTTGTGTATATAAACCTGCTTTCCCCTCTGGTCTCTCAGTCACTGACGAAAGCTAGTGGATACTAGCTGAAACGTCTGACGTTTTCAAAATCATATCCAGTTGCTTGAGTAACTGTTTTTTGGCATATCGTATTACCTGGATGTCTAACCTTCATCGACGTATCACCAATGGACACTTACTAGTGACACAATATTGCAAGGGAGGAAAGACACACATCACAAATTAAAATACTTTAAGGTAGTTCTTAATTTACTTAACTGTCATGTGTAGAAATAATTAAAAAAACAGCTCTTAGGCCACACCAATTTAATTTCTTGGTTAACGGATTCACCCGCTTCATTTTTTTCTGATTTGCAAATAAAAATAAAAATTCAGAATCAACTGTAAAATGCAGCTCATATTTTGCTCTGAACAGTTGAAAACAGTTCTTTTCATCCTAGTTGTTACAGCTATTCCATCTTTCAATGCAATGGTATCATTAAAAGTTCAAAATTCATTGTTCAAATTTTGACCCAGCCTGGTGTGTTGACTTCATGGCTCCTATCGTACCATTTTGGACCATAATAGGATGCCTAGGCCTGTTTTTATTTTTCCTTTTTTTTTTAGCCCGCCCCCTCCATTATTTTTCTGGAAAAATCCATTAACCAAGAAAAACAAATTAAATTGGTGTGGCCTTATAGGATTTAGTTGGATTTTTCAAGGCATCAATATGAGGATGTACATGTATATCATGGTCTCTATGTCACATTATGTGTTCTCATGAGGACCAACCTTGACATTATTTCTCATCTGTCAAACCAACAGAAAAACCCATCATCACCATTATGTTACATATTGTTTGAATTCCAGAGATTGGTGATGGTAAATTTACTCAGAAATTAATTGCTATACCAGAGACAAGCATATATCTGTATTGGCTACTTCATAAATGAACAATATATTATTAAACACAGATTATCATGAATATTATTAGATGATTATTCTTTGTGCTCATGTAACGTTACATATTCCTGACCTCCTTTGTTCTTGTACATCTGAATCCTCAAGAACACATAACCTACCCATTCCTTCCTTTTCTTCAGATCCATTCCTTCCTTTTCTTCAGATAAGTTCCATTCTGGACCATCCGGTAAACTTCTACACCACTGTCAGCTGCATGTTTGTTTTTCTATTTAAAAGCAAAACACAAAACATGAATGCCAAAACCACACAGTCACACACTCAATATTACCTCATAGCTCGAGTATATCATGCAGAACATTGGGCAAAAAATATGGTCAGTTAGACTAAGCAAGGAGATTTAAGACTCACAGTTTCGTGATGACATCACTGGAAATTCCAGGGCTAGGGGAATCCCCTTCTTCCAGATTACCCGGATGTAGCATAAAGTGACACCACAGGCCACATGTACAGACATGTTGTAACGTTACATTATGATGTGGACAGGGGATTGATTCTAAAAAATCCAAGCCGAATTACAAACTCTCCAATCCCCAAATTAAAGGACACCAGCAGAACTTTATAAAGACACAAACACTGCCACAATCACAAGAAACCCACGGCAAATTAGGTTTAAAACTGTTTGTTCAAGCAAACATTTATTAAACGTAATTTAGAATTTTTAGCTTATTTTTCCCACTTAACGTTACAGTACTAAGGAACAGACTTACCAGCGCCTCTCACAGTGAGTCAAGTTCAATATCACATCGAATAGGGGAGTCTGGTGTCCGACATGTTCACAAAAAAAGTGTACAAGAAAGGTATTACCTGACACTGAACTTTTCGGTAACTCTCCCAACTTCCCGGTTCAAAGTTCAGCAGTAGTCTCGTGCCCAGGTCACCTTGTAAAAACATGTTCACGAATATATGGAGCGCCACCGGCGATTTCTGATCGTACTGCAGTACAACTCGCCATGATCAGGCCGACAAAGAAGCTCAGTGATATTTGAATTCCCATACATTTCATTACTAAGGCGGTGTTTTACAAGTTGGTCACGTATTTCAATAGACTACAATCCCAACAAGTGAGACACAATTTTTCAGATGGAAAATATTAATAATGTCTTTTATTGTGCATTTTTGCCCCACTGGGCTAAGCACAGGTCACACGCGTTACAATCATATATACATATACCGATACATAAATATATAAATGCATGTATATATATAAACGTCTAATGTATTCTAGTATTTTCAACTTCCTCTGCAAACCGTTGAGTTGTACAACAAAGTTGCTTTCATCATCAAGGTTGAACAAATGACTAAACACACAAAGTAATGTATTATCGGCATGGTGAATAATAGACTTTTCATTCCTTCACATTTTATTCTTGTCCTTTGGAATGAATTTTGTGGCATTCTGCGATAAAAGTATCGTTTTCCAATTTTTTTTCAATTTACGGCATATATTTGCTCATTTTGCGGCTACTTTGAACGATTTACAGTATGGTCGAAAACGTTTTGGGGGAAACGGACGAAAACTCATGCGCGCGCGGATGTCATCTATATAATCAAATCAACATGGCCTTATATCACCTATAGCGAACAGAATGGCTTACCTTATAGCTATAGCCGAGTCATGTTTTCATATATGATACTACAGTAGGGTATATGCAACGATCTATTTAACCTTCATCTTTCATTCTGCGTAGCCCAATAGCAATTAGATTATTAACACAAGTGATCGGTGGAAATAAAACGAAGGGAAATGAAAGTAAGGGCACTGAGGCACATAAAAAAACTGATTCTGTGGGTGTAAAAGACAAGACAACCTTCCTATATGTTGTTGCAACAGTTGCCTGTATCCGTATAGCGTATATGAAAGGCAGTTTAAAGGAGCGTCGCACGGATAGCTATGATTATGAAAGCACGTGTTTTATTTATTGAAAACACCGACCATACCTGACGACATTATTGTAGTGCCACAGGAAAGGTATGAGCTATATTTTTGGGGAGACTTTTTTCAAAGAACTTGCAATATTTGCAACTACGTCATGAAATCTGGTAGTTAACGTTTGTGTTGTATTGGTTATGTGTTATAGGTTTGATATAATAGTATATATATAACTTATCTGAGGTGCAAAAACGTTAGAAACGTATTAAACAAGCAACGTTTAAATTGCAAAAGTAAGACAGCATCGAGAAAAATATAGCAGTGAAAAAAGACAGAGCACAACTCGGATTCGAGTACAGGTCAAAAAGCCTAATCCTAAAACCCTAACTCTCTCCGCCAAGAAACATCAAGATGTTGACATGTTGACAGAGTTTTAAAATACACCTAGATATAGAATCTACCGTTTCAAATGGCAAGGATGATCTTGCATACTGCGGATTCGCCTCACTGAATGCGACTGTTTGCCAAAACAAACAGAAACGCAATATTCTCACACCGAGAGCAAAAACATGAAAAACATCAATACCAGGATGTGGCACGTCAGTACAGTGAGGATTATTCTCCATTCCGAATGAAGAAAACAGGGATTACACAACCGAGAGTCGGAAAAGGAACGCAGGGAATCGCCGCCAACTCTTAACACTACGAGCACGCGTATGGTAAGTCTCTCACTTAGCACAGAATGTTGATTTTGTACTGTTACATGTTACGTTCACTCAGCTGCGTACACTAAGATACGAAGCTGTAATGACCCGAACAGTCAAACCTAGAACAATTCGAATTCAGTCCGTATAACACTGGGCACTCTGACTACAGCCATTGCTAACCCGAAGATACTTTTCCTCTCTTGCTGCCTAGCATGGCCTGGGTTCCTAGCTTTAAAGCATCCAATGCAGTTTCAGGGCGGCAAAATTATAGATATTCTGAATAAGGCAATCTGTATGATTAAGGACATGTCCTTGGTATGATATTGACATTTACTCACGGTCCCACATCGTATCCAAGCCCTAAAGATAACACTGGATGCCCTTAAATTTGCCTTGCATTTTCAGAACTACTTCCCAACGCGCAAAAGAGATAGTAGGACGTCAAGTCATTCCGGTGTGCACCTCAAAAAATGCAACATTCCCTATCATAGAAGGTCACACTAACAGTGACGTGTCAGGTCAACATGCATATGATCCGGCGACGTCGCAAGACGGCGCTGCTCCTCGGTGCAGCCCTGCTCCTGCTGATGGAAGTGTCCCGCCGGCGCCTGCTGCCCACAGCGCTTTGGTCTGGGACAGAACAAGGAAACGTAGTAAGAAAAGACGGGTACGTAGTTGTCTTTACTCTCGGCAAAAGGAGGTTATGATTACACAAAATATTTCTTTTATACCTCCATGAAAAATGGAGGCATTGTTTTTGGTGTGTCTGTGTGTCTGTCTGTGTTTCCGCACATTTGTTGTCAGCATAGCTTCAGATTGTGATGGTTTTTGGTACGTTGGCAGGTTGTAGGAAGACAAAGGTCAAGGTCAAATATGGGCCTTCTTTCTATTGTGCGTATTAGCTTAGAAAACACGTCTTTGAATAATTGAAAATATCCATTAGTTGATCCGCAAAGTTTTAATCACGTAGGTTCAAACCTGCCTGTTTTGATCAATGGTGAATTGCAACAAAATACTAACAAAATCGTCTTGAAGTTATTTGTTAACCAATTGCAGCATCTTTTACAACTGCAGGTTGCAGGCAGACGGCTTGGCTGGCGATACCATAAGCAGTGGTTTGAGGAGACAAGCGTTAGGCAAGAATGATCTAAGCAACGAGCTGACAGACAGGAAAACCAGACGGCAGGATTCTACAAACAACACTATCGACAAAACGATACCTGGGAGTGGCAGCAACAATACTATAAGAACACAGGAGCCACAAATCTATAGCCTTCATACAAGATTGACCAACGGCAATGCAAGCGATATCTTGAATAAACAGGTTTTAACAGACGACGGTCTCAGCAAAATATTTGCTGATGGCGCGAAGAACAATATTTCAAAGAAAGAGTCATCAACACACAATATACTTCCTATAGGAATCGCTCATGAAATCATCGACGATACATTGAGCGGACGGGTACTGATTAATGATAGTCGTACCGTTGAGGATAATCTGATTAAACGAGAGCCAATGAAAAACGATCTTACTGAAGGACTAGCTGGTGGTGCCATTGGTGATACCTTGGGAAGACAGGCGGTTGCAAACGATGTCCCCTCGAACAACAGTTGGAAATCAGCAAATAACGGTTTCTCCAAAGGGTCAAATGAGATGACCAATAGCAAGATCTTTAACAGACGGGCTCCAACAGACAGTGGTCTTAAAATGACCAGTATTAAAGGACCAGAACACAGGGTATCTGGCAACGTACCTACTAGGACGTGCAGGAAGAAAACAAACCTGGTTTTCCTGAAGACCCACAAGACTGCCAGCTCGACGGTACAAAACATCATCATGCGGTTCGGCAGTGCTAGAAACCTCACCTTCGTCCTACCTGCGGAGGACAATAACATCGGCTGGCCGGGGAAGTTTAAGAGGTACCACGTGCTCCAAGAGCGTAGCAGGAGGAAAAACATCACCTACAATATCCTCTGCCACCACACGCGTTTTAACTACAGCAACATCCGGGAACTTATGCCAGACGATACCATGTATATCACAATTGTTAGGAATCCTGCGGACATGTATGAATCCATATTCTATTACTTTTTGCTCGATAAAGATTTCAGGATACGCAGCCGTTCCCCCTTGAAAAAATTTCTCGACAATCCATATTACTATGTCAAGAAAAATACACCTAGCAAACAATTTTATCGTAACCCTATGTTCTATGACTTGGGATATACTAGAAAACAGTCGGTCTCAGAGCAGACAATAAAATCCGACATTGGTTTCCTCGAAAAAATATTCTCCGTTGTCATGGTAGCGGACTATTTCGAAGAGTCCTTGATACTGATGAAACACACGCTGTGCTGGGACATCGATGACGTCACGTTCTTCAAAATGAACGCCCGACGAGAAGAGAGCATTCGTCACGTGACTAAAGAAATGGCGGGAAGAATCCGCCGCTGGAACAAGGCGGACGCCATGTTGTTCGACCACTTCAACAAAACCTTGTGGTCTAAGCTTTCCCAGCTCCCCTTCGACTGGAGAAAAGAGGTGGAGATTTTGAAGGCAAGAAATAGGCGTCTACAAGAAGAGTGTATAGAATCTGACAATGTTAGGAACGCAGAAATACAGGACAGCCGCTTCAAAGTGTTCCAACCAGATGGCATTACCATCAAGGGCTTTCGGGTGAAGAAAAGTGCCCGGATGAACGAGACCTGTGTGAACATGGCGAAGTCAGAATTACCGTTTACGCATGAGCTGCAAGTCAAGGAACGGCTGAAATACAATATCATGGATTACAAGGAACAATTGCATAAGCAACAACCACAATCTCGACAAATGCCTGATAAGGAAAAGAAAAAACCTAATTATGGTCCTCAAAATTTGATTAAAAAAAGGAACTTACCTCCCGTATTTGAGATGCGTGATAAAGAAAAGCAAAAAGTTTACCCTCTGTTTCCCAACCAAAATCTAACAGCGGAAAAGAAACCGCTTTCCCTTTTAGACGTCATTCTTAAGATACATGAAAAGGACATACAAAAACTTAATCCTCAGTATTCCAACCAAAATTTCATTGTGGACAACAAAATCCCTTCCATGGTTGAGATGCCTGAAAAAAACGTACAGAAACCTAATCCTCAGTACTCCAACCAAAATTTCATTGTGGAAAAGAAATTCCCTTCCATACTTGAGACGCATGAAAAAAACATACAAAAACCTATCCTCAGTATTCCAACCAAAATAATATGAACAAGGTTCTAATGTTAGAAAAGGGAGAAAGGAACGTCGGTTAATAATTTAGTCATTATGTAACGTTACGCATACCAAAATAGTTATAGAAATAAACATACAATATCATAGAGAAAATCTCTTTAATTGACATGTAAAACTTTAATATACAATCAGCAACAACTTGAATATATGGTTTAACGTTACTTGAATTACAAAATTTTAAGTATCAGTACAAATTCAAAGGTGTTGCATACAGTTGGTGATGTACGCTGTTTTTTCACACACCGAGAAATTTTGTTTTTGCACTGACGTAACGACCAATAAGACACATTTGTTAGTACTGTACCTCTAAAATACTTGATATCTTACATGGGGATATAAAATTAGGGGCCTAATTAAGTACAATATAATCAAGTTTTCATTGTTTTATTACAATTAATCGTGTTTTTGATAGTGACGCAAAACCAGCAACCCTATGTCAAACCTCTACATGTAAAAAAAAAACACTTATTCAGAAGTGTTTTGGTGAAATGTACTACTTAAAAAACATCATGGTTCACATCTGTTGAGGATAACTGCCTTGCCATTATCAAGATTGAACGCAGCCAAAAGTAACGAAGATTCCCCATTATATTAAAATCAATTCAGGATAAAATTTATGGTAAAGACATTTCTGCTGCAATAATGCAGTGTACAGATCAATTAGTTCAATGGTTTCGAGGGAAGATATGATACAATTTTATATTGCTCGTTAAACGATCGTAAGGCCAGTATGTTAATTATATTATATACAGAAAGTTGCATTCTAGAAGTAGTGATATAAAACCTAGGACTGTACACAATTTACATTTTACGAAAGCATTTACTCTATTGACTATATATGCTATTACTACTAAGTTTTATCACTGCTAATTAACAATTCATGTACGCTGTTGACACTGCACGTATGCAATGCCATTTAAGTATTCACTTCCCTTAGTTTATAAAGCATCCAGTTTTTATTTATGCAATCCACAATTTTGATCATTTTAAGGCACATGTACAAAAAGCCCTCATGATTTGCTGTATCAATTTTGCAATATCTTACTATTTATGATCAAGGAACGTACACAATTTGTTAGTCAATATTGCATACATACGATGGCAACTCTATAATTCGTTTGCTATGTAGACACAAGTCTCAAACTGCTACAATTCCTCTACCTCTGTAAGAATTACTTTGATGAAAATGTTACAGGCTCGATGTAATGACAGCATCTTTTTTTCAAAAATAACTTTTAGAATTTCTGTTTGGATATTGTTAGAATTGTTAGGCATGTAAAGCATATACATTTTAATGCTCAGATATATTCAGCAATTATATAACATATTATTCGTATAGATCACCTTTAAGGCTTCGGAAGCTGCCCGTTTGTATATTAAACACTGTGATAGCAGTGTTTTGTTGTGTCTTCAATCCGTGTCTTATTTCATTATGCCACACCAAGTAAATTTTATGGATGACGTCCGCGCGCGCATTGATTTTGGCCTGTTCCTAGAAAAAAAACAAGAAATTCCACTTCCTGTA